GCGTATGACCCGGACTAGTGTGCAAATCTTGACAATTATAAACAATAAATTATCAAGGCAATATCATTTCATGTCGATATCGACATCACATGGTGTAGATTTAATAAAATAATTTGGTAGTAACAAATTTGGAAGAAATAACTATGAGAGTGGGTAATGTTGAATTTTATAATCAGAAAATCTTTTCTGTTGTTATCATCATGGCCATGGAGGCTTGTGTACGGGGGCCGTTCCGGTAAAAATGAAGGGAAAAAAGAACTCCGCGTTATAGTAAAAATAATAATGTCAGATTTTTACCTTAAATTTTGGTGTTTATTTCATTTTTGTAATGACAAGAAGACCACTTACAGGTAATACCGACCAAATTTATACCAAATGGCTGCTGGTAAATCAATTCAGCAGAAAGAATGAGATTTCATCCAAACATTACTGTCACTGATTGAAATCCTATTTTCGTATGTACCAGTATATTTGTCCTCCATACGCCATTACACTTTTATAGGGATAATGAAATACGTCCTCGCTGATGACGGCAATCATTCCCTCATTTTCGACGCCAGCCTACCACTAATGTGTATTCGCCATTGATCTCCGTCACGTGATCAATACAAAAGTGGCCAATCAAGGGCAAGCGTTGATCGAATGGAAAGTATTTATTGATCAATGTCACATTGCGTGTGTCAATGAATCATTTTCTTAATGCACTGACGTAAAAATATCCACATTGTGGACGGTTGGCTGTCTGTATACGATTTTATACTAGAAGCATAGATTGAATCTGCAGGATTTCGATAGTGTACAGGAAGTAAGGACACAACCACTATCGTGACTACTCCAGCTTTAACAACAAAAATGAATAAATACAATGCGGAAGAAAGTTATGCTAGTCAAGTGCCATAATCAATAGCCTGTATAAGACCACCAATGTAAATCGTTCTCAGGCACTTGAGCCCCAGGAAAGGATTCGAACCAGGTACCTTTCATATATGATAAGCATGCGTGCGTAACCAAAACTACAACCAGTTCCGTATAAAGTGTGTTGGGGGGGGGGGGGCAGGGGTGTTGTTAATAAATTTCAAATGCTACTGGGCGTTTTACAGAATGACTCGTGCGTACCTATGACACACGCTGTTTTAATCCGTCGTAATAATCATGAAGCAACTGCATGACTTGGCAAATGCACAACTCATTCCAAAGTGACTGTATGTTTACAACACCAGCCGAACACGCGCCAAAATCAATGAACAATTTTAACAGCCACGCGCAACCACCTGCCACTCTGCGAAGTTGGGAACTATGAACTATTCTCTTTTCGTCCTTTCTTTCTGTTTGATCAAAAGCGATTTAGTCATGCGGAAAGGACCCAAATCGTGACGCAGCTCAGATCAAATAGAAAACACTGCCATGAGGTTTATAGCTGTTGTTTATACACGTCCTCGGTTAGATGGTATATCATCTGATCATAGGAATAATGAAATAATTCAGTCGTTACCATGTCAATAATTGACAAAAGCATGTCCAAAAACAATACATGGTTAATTGAAAACCTACAGAAACCTTTTGAAACTTAATATACCATATTATAGTAACACCAGGTGACGAACACTATGTGCTGTCGTGATATTTTAACGTAATTAGTTTTCTTAAGTATTTGTGAGATTAAGTGATTTCTTAAAATGTGCCTAGAGCATAAAATATACAAAAAATATTTGAAAGCATCTTGAATGATTGCCTTGGTAGTATTCGTTCGCTATTTTGGATTTTGTACAGCTATTTATGGGTAGAAACATTTCAATATTGAATAAATCTACGTCATTGTTAACCATAATCATCGATGCATGCATGATATAGACATCTGCTTCTGTAGCATTTGACGTACGGAGGCGGCAGGTGTGTGGAGGAGCTGTCAGCTCATTCATCAATTTTAATCTATGACTCCGACTCTCTCTCTCTCCCTCTCTCCCCCTCTCTCTCCCCTCTCTCCCTCTCTCTCTTCTTCTTTGTATCTGCCTCTCTGTGGAACTCATCATAGTTTTAGATTCCAGATTTTAAGGCATATTAATTAGATTACATTATCGCAAAGACATTCGGGAAATATTACATAAAGAAGTCATGTTCCGATTACGTAATAAACGTCATCGCAATATTCGCACATTTCATTACGTGGTTGATAAGACAATTGGAATTGTCTTAATTCGATTTTCGAAAGTCTTTTGGTCGCATTAAAACGTCAAGAAATTATTATACGCCTCTTTGGTTTGCTACGGAATTCTTATGTCCTTAAATTACAACCGTAGGATACACTGATGATTCTGTTTTTTATAATTATTGTAGCTCAAATACTAAGAAAGCAAGCATATGCTTACAGTCAAATAATAAGGGGAATTACAGCTTCAAAGACCTATCCAATATTGTACTAATACATCGAGACAGTTTCGAATCCGTGTCTTACGATCACAAGACTACTGCTCTACCACTGAACCATCATGCATCACTCTAGTCCTAAACTAAATACTCACAGTTCTGTCAAAAGATGTTTCGTCAAATAGTGCATTTTTCAAAGATGCAAGTACATTATTTGGCTAAACTCTTGAGAATCTTATTCATAAATAATTGTATTACCTAATCGGAGTTACCTGATTAGAGTTTTGAGGAGACCAAAAGAATTGGAATAATATAACCACATTTCGTGAAAGATGTTCATGAAAATTTCATTTTTGAGTACTGCTTTTAGTTGGTGCACTAAGAGTGAAGTAAATGCTATCTCGGCAATGCCACATGGGAAAAACGTGAGAAACCATATAAAACTAATTCTTCATCATTAGCCAAGGTATAAAAGCCAGTCTCGAACCCGGTAAAAGAAATTCCTTGACTGCTTGAGTGTATTATCGTCTAATCATTAAAGTTTGGCTAAAGTGGGGTTAATCATGTCCAATGTATTTTGAAAGGAAATGGACCGCAATGTTCTATATTAAGAGAAAAGGTTATCATTATTACCCGTGATTACTGCAGTCCATACAGACGAACTCGCTGTGATAACTAAACTTTGAGTGACAGTAAAACGCTTTCTCAAGAAATAATTGTGTCTATAAAAACTATATATATATGGGCAAGTCCATGCTATATATCTGTCCACTACGATACCACATCTTTATCTGATTGTGGTATCAAGCTCATAGCCGTACTAGAGCTTGGATCAGACGCATTATCGAGTAAAATTACATTTTTGTTGTCTATTCATGTTCACACTTTCGTAATACCATTTCATTATACCTGGTGATACATGGCACTTTCCTTGACCTTGCCCTAGTGTGGACTACTGAATTACAAGTGATAATGTATAGGCAAGTCTAAGGAATTCGGTAATTTTCTGTCACATACGTTACCAAGAATAACGGAAACTGAACAACAAATGACATCAAAAGTGTTACTTTCCTTGATACAATGTATTTTGTCTGATCAGTAGCCCTAGTAGTGCTACCCTGAGCACCCTCTTAGACATAATACTAGTCACCTTGATGTAGTCGCTGATGCGCATGGCATACATCATCATCCTTTAATATCGGATTTCTAAAAATGAAATCGATTTCAATCTCGTAAAAACTAAACAAAATCAAAGAGAGATGCATTTTGTTGAAGAGAGACAGCTCATAGCTTGAGTGATTGTGTCACCTCTATTTTTGTTGTTACGTGGCTTTACTTTCGACATCTAACTACACTTTGACTGCGTGAATAAGCAACGCGTCATGTATTAACCATCATCAAATCAATTTCACGATGCAGAGATTGGTGAATGACGGACTGACTCACATTGTGCCACCAAACCTTTTAAGTGGCAGCGTTACCATGGTAACCATACACAAGGAAAATCACCTGGATTAGGATTGATGGGAGGATGGGACCTGTACAGAGTGCCTCATAAAAGTTTATTTGAGTCCTCTGTTCATCGTTGGTTGTATATTCCATCTTCTTCTTCTATTTTTTGTTTGTTGAGGAGGGGAGCATGTGCTTTTTTCTAATTAGTATCTCATGGAGGTGTCGTGGTATAGTGGTTCATTCACTAAACTCTCAATTCGAGGGTTAAGGGTTCGAATCCCAGCAAGGCACTAATATTATTTGGCAATTAGCATTAATTCACAATTGCCACTCTCCACCAAGATGCAAACTGATATCTGATAATTGTTTGGGTAATAATTGCAAGGAACTCAGGGAGATTGCATTGAGGCTGTCGAGGCTTTCATTATTATTAGAGGTATTAGGTATCGTTCAGTAAATTCTAGTAGGTGTTAAACGTTCCTCCACAACAAGAACACAAGTATCAGACATGTTAGCCTTAAGTTTCCTGTGAGATTTTACTTTCTCCATATTTCAAGTAATTATCTGTTGAATAATCAGCAGTAACTTAGAACTTTTCTTTTTAAAGCATTGAGGTACCATCTAATTATTTTTTTAAACACCGACGATAGAAATCAGTTCAAAATGTTATAGACAAAAAGATTATAGGCCTACTCATAGTGACATTTTGATAGAATTTCTTTGAAATTACAACTGTAGAGTGTAGACAGTTGTATCAAGGAAAATAAATAAAATCCTTGCTGAGCGTGAAAACTTTGCTAAAACGTTGTTCAGATTTCCTAGAAAAAAATTAAGGCGCGTTAAAAAAAAAATATATATATATATATATATATATATATCATACAGATTGGTTAAACATATGCAACTACTTTCACGACTCTGTCCAAAGGTCAAATACCACCTTCTGTCCACCTAATAATTGCAATTGTCATTACCCCATCAATGCCTGTACCAATTTACACCTGTGTCGAGAGGGACTAAAAGTGTGCAAAACATCTTGTTCAAAGATGTTAAGCATCAAGTGAGGATCGAACCCGTGACCTCTCGTATGAGAGTCAAGCGACTTCAACGATATACCACAGTGCCCCCCAGATAGGTGTGTCTCTCATCCCGGTGTGTTTATATTATTCACAGTGATTACTTACTATATATATCATCACCATCCCACGTTGTTGTGACCAGACCGCTGGGATCCACCATGATGTAGCCGTGAAAGACATGAAGGACTTGGCACCCTTCTGACTCCAACCCTCTCCTCCTCCGGCTCCTTAAAGACGTGTCGTTACCCCCCTGCGCCGAATCCGTAAGATTCTCATGGCATTTCCTGATGCGCAACAGGTTGCTGATATTAAAACCACGTAATCTGTTCTTATGTAACCTAGGATTGTCATGGGTGTTAGGTACATCGTTTGTTCTATTCACATGGACATCGTCTTCCAGATATGATGACGATGATGATGATGACCACGACGATGACCACAATGATTGTGATGACGAATTAACTTCGCCTGAACTGTTTGATTCATTAATGGTTAATGATAAAGGCGATGATACATTTAATCCCTGATAAGTTGTGATTGAATTATTTAAAATGTTAGCACTGATAATATGTTCATCTTCCATCCGCCGTCCTGACCAGAGAGCGGTCCTACTTCTTCTTCTTTGAGGTAAATTTTTTTTAACGTTCGCAGTAGTTCTCTGTGTCATGGGTGCTTTAACTTGTGACGGTGAGATCGACCCCGTGTTTATTAGAGAGAATAACGTCCTTCTTTGTCTCCTCATTAAATCATTGGTAGGTCTTTTCAGAGATTGACTCCGTAATCCATGCGTTACAGGGCTCTCCTCCTTGCCCAACGACCATGTCCTGGATTTAATCCCTTTAGAAAAATTCCCCTCCTTGACATCGCGATTCGCCATCGATTTCTCCAAGCCTCTCAAAACTGTTTCATCGTGCACTGTAAAGTTCTTTCCCAAAGTATCGACGACTGTTGATACATCCCCATCGTTCCTTCTTCCTGTTGTCTGGGTTGACTTACTAAAAGTTTTGGAGTTGCTAGGGTTTAGCGGCAACCCATTGGCAAAGTTTGGGACCACCATGAGGGTGAAGAAAGCCCGGAATACACCTCCCCACCCGAGCGTTTGTTTCACCTGACGCATACTCTCTCGTCTCCAAGTACACACCTGTCCTTGTGTTTCAGAGAAGGACGAAGGGGGGGAAGAGCTTTAATGCTTGGTTGGTCGGCTGACTTCAAACGTTTCCAAATAACACCTCACGTGTGATATGGTGTGCAGGCTAGCCAACAGGACTCAAGGCCAATATCACTTCGGAAATTCACACAATGACAGCACCACAACGGAGTCAAACAGTGAATACCCTAATGCACAGATTGTGAGTCAAAGTACATCCAAAATTCAGGAAAAATTAACCGCTATCTTCCTCTCTCTCCAATTTTGCTATCAGCACCTGCCAGCAGACGTGATTGTCGTGGAATGATGATGTGAAGCGAACGAGTGACATGACTTTATAGTAACTATGCTCAGCGTAGGCGACCACAATATTGATTGATTACCAATGATTGGTAATGAACGAAGCTCTCGAAGATTTCGAGGGTGTTTTCCAAGTCGGTGCCATGTGAGACAGGGGAGTAACGTGATAATAGACATGTTTTAGATCGCGTGTAGTGCGCCACACCAGTCGACCAGTGTCCGTTCGAATCCTCCCCACCGGCCTACGCATATCAAGCCATGCCTCAAACCCCCGCGTTGACGGCGGCCAGTCTCCGTTTGCGTACACCAGTCCAAGCCACATAAAATATTATGATAGAGAGAGAGAGGCAGAGAGACAGAAATGGTTGAGTTTCCTAATAGATATAGCCGACCTTCATACCAGGCCTTGCAGCCTTTCGACGATTCGTACCATAACCCACCCGCGACGGCAACTATCTACCAATTGTCATCTCCAATTTAGATTTTTTTTTTCTTCTCCGTGACAACTAGACCGAGTCAGGATTGCCGCTGGAATGCTGCCTATTGTTCACGTCAATGTTGAGTCGTACGCCTATTCTACCCACCAGCTCTCCGCAGGCTCGCAATATGAATAGCATTGGATCATAAATACATTTATTTCCCAAAACATGTATTATTTCGCTAAAATCCAACCAAAATAATTGACACTCTACTGTATGTACTGCCTGCGGATATAATTAATACAGATCCATATCTATGGTGTGCTGTCATCGAACATTCCTCTGGGTTTATGACAAGAGTGCAACGTGCTCCTTGCAAATATTGTGGCAAATATCCAAAATCATACCAAATAAAAGAAAAAAACAACTATGTAAAGTTATTCTCTACTACCCTGGAGTTTGTTGATTATATTGAAAGTGACGCTAACATCCATTGCCATGTTTTTTTTTTCGAATGCGAGTTCTAAAAATACTGTGATTGACTTGACCCGGGACTTGACATAAATCATTATTCATATACAAAAATTCTGTTATCTTTTATTGCTCGTTCCCTTCATTTGTAAAGATTGAATTAAATACCCTCTGGGTCTTACAACTCACAAGCGTTGCTGTCACCATAGGACCTTCCATATTTCACTCTTCTTTTCTAGTTCGGTCTTTAAAACAAAAATTAATGCATGCAAACACATTGATATGTTTCAGTCTAGAGCTGTTAACAGAATTTATGTTAGCTCGTACCATGTATTTTTGTGACATCATTACAAAATGGGAAAATGGGAAATATGACAAAACAAACTGACATTGAAACTGTTTCTAATATTATAAGGGAACGGTTTGACCTAAAGTTGATTTCCCAAAAATGATGTCGTATTTTACAACTGCGTCAATATACTACATGATATCATACTGTAAGATCGGAGTAAAATTCAAGAATTCTGCGACTGGAAATCCCATTTATATCTCCCTTTCCCTCTATAGTATTATTATCATTCTATTAATCCCTTTGGAATGAGGTTTTTAACAAATAAGTTCTCCGAGCTAACCCTATTAGTGACAGTAGACCCAATTTTTGTTTGTTTCCGGGGTTTGTTTATCGAAATATTTCCAAACGAAACGGGTAACACCTTACTTCTGAAACCCTCTTTGTACAAGTTGAAATGTATAAGCCTAAATTAACCAAATAAGATTAAATAACAATCATTGATAGGGTAGAAAACAGTGGCGTTTCCTGTGATAGGCAAAATGATATTGGTAACAGAAAAGTGTATTCTGGTGGGATCGGAGAAGGGGGGGGGGGCGGGCGTGGAATGTATCACAAAAGTTGATTACATTAAAATAACATTCTTAACTGTTGGATGAACAAAAACATTATCTTAGTTTCCAAATGAGATATCACTCAAAGTAAAATGTCCTTAGCTTAAGATTTAATATGTTGTACTATCATAATTTTTGAAGAGTTCTTGGGACAATGTGTATAAGAGTAAAGTTTGCAAAAAGTTGTGGCCAAAGATTATTTAAACATGCAAGCATATACACGTGCGCACAAACACACATACACCCTCTCATAATATACACAGAGAATGCTATCTCTTTCTTTCCTTTTTTTTCTTCTCAATCTTCGCCTTTTTTTTGCCTCTTAACTCCATTTCCCTCTCCATTATAAACGCCAACGACAATGATGGAAGTTATATTCAACTGCATTATTTTTATTTTTAATTGACCCACTTTTTAAAAAGCCAAATATTAGTTAGAAAAAGTTCATTTCTAATAAAAGGATTGCAGTGGCAGTTTGGTCGTAGGCGTGGGAGAGACGCATTTGTTTACATGTCATCTTTACAAACAGCATGCCCCCCGCCCCACCCCCATGTCAACCTAACAAATTATAACAGACTGCAGAACAAACAAAGAATGTTCTGTCGAAATGAATTAAAAGTTAAATGTTATTATTGTTGACTTGGACTTGGAGGAAACAATGAATTGAAACTGTTTCTAATATTAGAAGGGAGTTGTTAGATTCAAAAATCGATTTGTCAAAAAATAAAGTCGTACTTGTATTTTACAACTGCATCTACATGAATTCTATTGTATGATCGGAATGAAATTCAAGAATTTTGCTACTGTAAATCCTATTAATACCCTCCTCTCTCTCTCTCTCTCTCTCTCTCTCTCTCTCTCTCTCTCTCTCTCTCTCTCTCTCTCTACCTTTCTAACATATTTCTAGTAAATGACTTCCTATCATAGTGTAATATTACACTGTACGATCGGAGTGAAATTTAAGAATATAGCGACTAGCAATCTACCTGATACCCCCTCTCTCTCTCTCTCTCTCTCTCTCTCTCTCTCTCTCTCTCTCTCTCTCTCTCTCTCTCTCACTCTGCTGTTCTCACCTTCTCTGTAAAATCGTATTGGCTTTGCCGTATTCATTTGATTTTTGTATTTCCCACAAATAGCTTTGTCTATAATATCCAGGTATATCAGTACAGAGATAGTAAACTACATGTACACACAGAATGACACGGAATCGTATATGTAAGACACAAGCATGCGGAAGTATGCTTCATTTATTTTCAACATTGCATATTGATTGTTGTTAGTACATTGACCCCGTGATGTAAAAGAAAATCTGGGAGCTGATATAGGATTGAAATAATCGTCTTTGCATGTAGCTCTAATGTTTTGTTTTACCTGATTTCTGAATAATTGGAGTATGCACAGCCAAGGAATGTTTGAATTATTGTAGGGGCGTAGCTAAGGGAGCCTGGGGCATGGGGGGGGGGGCACGTTGCCCGCGGAATTGAAAAAAGGGGAAGGACAGGAAGAGAAAGAAAGGGAAAGGGGAATGAGGAAGGTAACATGAAGAGAAGGTGATAATCTCCTCACATATTCTCTCCTCAATCGCTGTTTCTCGTAGACCAGCCCCCCCCCCACCCCCTCTCCCACCACCAATGGCTGTACCCAACAAACCTTCATAAAAGTGCCAACCAGAAGAAGAGGGTTACCGCCCTGATCGTAACTGCAGCTTATAATCCATGATTCACTGCATACTAATTGATCCCGACTTTCTTCGTCAAGGTCCAAATGATTTACTTCATTTATTTTATGTATACAAAAAATAACGCAGATATCCTCGAATATACATTAATCAATGGGTATGTAGTATATAAACAAAGTCGATTTGACATGCACACGTTTTCTTACTGTGTGTAGCATAAATAGGGCGTCGAAAATGATTTGAAATGACAGGGATGTGCATAGTCACCTATTACCTAATGATTGTGAAATTCACGTGACTAGCCATTTATCATTTTTAAACCACAACTAATTCCAATAGTGACTTTTCGTTATATAAACAAATAGTAAAGTAACTCACCATTACAAGGACTCTCTAGAAATCTAACCCAGTACACGTTTAATACCCTATTGTAATGTCCAAAGAAATCATGTTGGAATTACGTACATGTATACGTTATATGTCATTTTCATGATAGCGCATTGAATAGCCTATGTGGCGCACAAGATTATTGGAATTGATTCTTCGAAAGTCTTTGTGATCGTGTAATGAACTGATCAAGAGCTGGACAAAAACTGGCATTCTCCTAAAAAGGTCTTGGGTTATATTTTTTTAGAATTTATTATAATATCTATGTTATTAATCAATATCGTGATTTCAATTCTCATTTTCGAAATAACAAGATGCTAAAACTCGATGATAAGTTTCTCAAATCAGAGAAAGTGACTAGTTATAATAATGACACGAAACTCTCAAACTCGAAATCGTCAATCAATATTATACGCAAACTTTAAATGTATAAATTAAGGATTTGTGACGTAGTAAGTGACTTGTAGGTATACAATTTGCTTTAAAAATGCTCACAAGAAATACTTACCGTCATAGACTCATTGTTAATCTTGTGCACTTGCTTTTATTTGTTAACATTTTATCTTTAAAGAAATGCAGGTTACCACGTGTTTTGGTTTATAAATTCACTTCTTTTTTTAGAGAGATATTTCAAAATTTCACATTTGTATTTCCTATAAATAGATGATTGAATAATCAAATTAATGATGTAATGAAATATACACACATAGCAGTCGTTCAATGACGCAGACAATCGCTATCCAGCCTTCTCGCATTAATTGAAAGACCAATTGGCTCAAATGAAATTGTAGATTGTATTGATTACTGTACATAATCAACGATCATGGGCCGTGAAAACCAGTAAATCATTTTAGATGCCAAGGCCAAAATTGCCCCGAATGGAAAATATCAATTAGGCGACGAAACACAAAAGAAATGAGTGTCCTTATCGTCCATTATCCCAATCTATTTGAGTGTTGACGCCAATGTTGTGGTCGGCTAATACAGCCTGTATCCGCTGAACCCACGCGACTGTTCCGAGTCCACCCGATCGCAAAATAATACACCAATTGTGATACTGTTTGCTTGGTTCTTGCAATTATTATTCTAATAATCGTTTTAAAATGAGGTTAAAAATTCAGTTCACCACGTTAGCTTTCTCTCTCCCCGGTTGTTACAGTAGACCCACTTTTGGTTGATGATGACCTACATCTTTATGTTTGTTTATTTATTTAAATGTTTCGTCACGAAACGGGCAATGTCCTTTATTTTGGAACTCTCTTTGAAAGGTACATAAGCCAAAATCACCCCGATAACTCTAAACTTTCAGTTATGCTTCTTCTTCATATCTACAATCGTTGGATATTATGTAATTTGAACTTATATCCAATGTCATAAACCGAAAAGACATAATATAGTTTTATTTTTTTCTCATAATATCATATCATATAAATTTTATCTCTCAATGTGTTTTTCGCAAACGTTTTTGTGATAATTGTTTTAACATCGCTATGTGTTCCATAACGTTTTATTGTAAACTGAAGGCCATTTTCAGTGTTGTCAATAAACCATTCAATTTAAATAAAAACAAACATCAATAGGGTAAAAAAGCATTGGCGTAT